GATCAAACTTTCTTTACGTCGGGCGTGTCCCCCTACAGGCGGAGTGGAAGAAAATGAAAATGGTCAAACAATATTCGAAAATTGTTAAACACTGCTGAAACAGCGTCCCCATACTATGTTTGATTGATGTTTGAACATTCCTCCTGTAGAGGGACGCGCCCGACTTAAAACTTTCTCCCATCTCCCTGCACGAACTGAGCTCTGAGAACGCATTCTCGGACGCCGCACGCCACGCTGCCAACCAGAAGCTCCCAAGGATGTGCACGGCAGCAGGGTCGGTCGAAGTAGCCCAGTGCACGCGCGACAAAAGCGTGCGCAACTGCACTAGCGTCGCAGCGCGGGTGCGTCTGTGGCCAAGCCAGTGAAAATAGAGGGCAACACAGTCGCTGCAACATGCCCTCCTCCTCCTGCTGATCTTCCTCCTCCTCCTCCTGCTCCTCTTCCTCCTCCTACTCTTCCTCCTCCTCCTCCTCCTCCTCCTCCTCCTTCTCCTCCCCTGGACGGATCGACTCAAGCGGAGCAAGTGAGAGCGGGCTCAGGACGGCACAGGGTCGGCGGAGGAAGCGAAGGGGGGGGGGAAGTGAGGAGGAGAGGGCCTTCCTGGTCTTCGGTGGTCTTTCGGCGGTCTTCGGCAACCTTCGGCGGTCTGTTCGGCGGTCTTCGGTGGTCTTTCGGCGGTCTGGACGGCGGCCCGACACGGTCTTCGGCGGTCTTCGGCGGTCATCGGTGTGAAAGCAAGATGTTTCGCGTTAGCAAGGGGTCCATGATCGAACACGTAACAGGGAAGTTTTTAATACATATGATGTTTCAACATTTATGATTTTTAATACCTGATTAATGTATGAATGACTTTATGCATGAAATCATCGTTGTTTTTAATCATACATCCCTGCATTTTTAATACATGATCCGCACGCGGAGCATGTATAAAAAAACGGCACTGTAACAGAAGGCTCGGACAGGCCCCCAAGCCTTCCGAGAAGCTCTCTGAGCCTCCCCAGCACGCAGGGACAACTTCTCAGAAGGCGCGAGGGCTTCTGAGGAGCCCCGCCGCCTCCTGAGAAGGCCTTCTCCTTCGCACTTACCCCCTCGCTCGCCGCCGACAGGGACACACACTCATAACGGCCAAGCCACAAGAAGCAGCCCACCTCCCGCCACAGCGGTCACGACCACGGGGCCGCATGGCGTGCCTTCGCAGGCCGAGCGGACACTCTCCGCTCCGTACCCTGCCTGCTCTTCCCGCACACGGCTCTCTGTGCGCGTGTCCTGGTGACGACGCCGGTCAGCTCCCGCCCGACCTGCGTCGCGTGAGGCTGCAAGGAGGAGGAGGGAGGAGAGAGGACGGAGGAGAGGGATGGTGATGCTGGTGGTGACCCTGATGGTGATGACGCCGACGATGATAGTGGCCAGGAAAGTCGCCCTTCGCGGACGAGTTTCGGCAGACACCCGTCGTGAGGTGCTTGAGGGCCAGAACGCGCACGAACCCCGAGGTCGCCGCGTGCCGATACTTGATCAAGAACAGTTCTCCGAGGTCCGCACGCCCGAACTCTACAACGTCCGAAACGACTCTGAGAGGAAACCATTATCCCGGCAAAGCAACCTAACAGCGATGTGTAGGAGCATATCTGGAAGCATTCCCCTTAAGATTCAGATGAGAATCCAGTTGTAGAATTCTGCTGTTCTCGCAGTCGTAGTCGCATTCGCGAGGACAGTCGCAGTGGCAACGGCAGTCACAGTCGCAGCCTCAGCCTCAGCCTGCCTCAGCCTCAGCCTCAGCCTGCCTCAGCCTCAGCCTGCCTCAGCCTCAGCCTCAGCCTGCTTCAGCCTCAGCCTCAGTCTGCCTTCAGCCTCGGCGTCAGCCTCAGGCTGCCTCAGCCTCAGCCTCAGCCTGCCTCAGCCTCAGCCTCAGCCTGCTTCAGCCTCAGCCTCAGTCTGCCTTCAGCCTCGGCCTCAGCCTCAGCCTGCCTCATCCTCAGCCTGCCTCAGCCTCAACATCAGCCTGCCTCAGCATTCAAAATGTGGCCCGGGAATGGAGTTCTGGGAACTCGAAGAACACGAAGTGGCCTACAGTTGGCTCCGGGCATTCAAAATCATGCCCAGGAATGGAGTTCTGGGAACTCGAAGAGCACGAAGTGGCCTACAGTTGGCTCCGGGCATCCAAAATGTGGCCCGGGAATGGAGTTTTGGGAAGTCGAAGAACACGAAGTGGCCTACAGTTGGCTCCGGGCATCCAAAATGTGGCCCGGGAATGGAGTTCTGGGAACTCGAAGAGCACGAAGTGTGTGACTGTTGGCTCCGCTTATTCAAAATGTGGCCCGGGAATGGAGTTCTGGGAGGTCGAAGAGCACGAAGTGTGTGACTGTTGGCTTAAAACGAGCCCGGCTCTGTTCCCGTTTCTTTTCCCCGGCACCCGCCCAGACCCCCCTGTGGAGTCATCAGATGCTCTCTGTTGAGTCCACTAGAAACCTATCAGCAAACGCTGTTCGGTAATGAAACAGCGGATCATCCGCCAACGTGCCGCGAGGCACGGGGTGGAGTGCCTTCAATTTCCTTGTAGTCCTCAGTCCCCAGTCCTCGGGGTTGAATACTAAGGAGCCCGGACCCAACATTCTCGAAGTGCCTGGGCTTCCTGGCGTGCCTCCCGCGGTTCCTCGGCGCTTCCCCCACGAGCTGTTTCGGAGCCACGAGCGCCCTAAAACGGGCCAGGAGGGCCCCGAGGGGCCTCTGATCTACAATCCAAGCACGGTGGTGGGATGGGCCCGAGGACAGTAGATCCGCCGCACCAAGTGGCCTTGCCACAGGGCTGCCTGGCTTGCTGAATCCTAAATGGCTGTTGGTTCTTTTGGAGCTCCCCCGGTGGCTTCGGCCGATGCCGCTGGCCACCCTGAAATCTCCCCTAATTTCGGTCTCCATTGGCCACATCGGCTCCAAGACGGCCACGATGGTCCAGGAGGCCCTCCACGATGCCTCCAAGTCGGCTAAGATGGCCCCTAGAGAGCCCAAGACAACTCTAAATATGTCCTCCAAGCCATATAGCCGAGATGCCTCCAAGACCGCCAAGATGGTCCAAGAGAGCCCAAACAGGCCCACGAAGCACCCAAGAAACCTCCAAGACGACCCCAGAGGCCTCCACGAGGTACTCCAGGAAAGCGTATTGTTTTGTTGTACACACACACATATATATATATATATATAGATGTATACACGGATGTTGGCATTCGTTTCTTTCGGCCTTCCGACGGCCCAAGGCGGCCCAAGAGCCCCCCAATATCGCCATCCAAGATGGCCCCATAGCGGCGCAAGAGGCCCCAAAGACGGCCTAAGAGGCCTCCGAGACTCCCAAGAAGGCCCCGAGAGGGCCCCAAGAGGGTCCCGATACGGCCCATATTTGTCTCCAAGACGGCTCCCGACGGCGTCAGACGGGCCAGGAAAGCCCTAAGAGGCCCTCAAGAGGCTCCCAGGAAGCTCCCCAGAGGCCCCAGGAGTGACCCATGAAGCTCCCAAGAGGTCTCCTCATCCTTCTCCTTATCCGCCATTTTTATTCCTCTCCTCATCCTCCTCTTCCTCCCCCACGTGTTCCCCGAAGGGCTTCCACAAGGGCTGGCGTATCCTAAAATGCAGGGAGTGGCGACGATTCACCGTAGACGTCTTCGATACGTCTCAGGCGGGCAATAAAAAACACAGCTGGAGCTCATCTATGCGAAGCGTCGATCGAATCGCGAATGAGCCGCCAACTGATCTCGATGTCGAGGGGGCGGTTGGTTTCGCGTTTGGGAGCTTCGTCTTCCTTCTGCTCATCATGCTCCTCAGCCTGCTCACCATGATGGTCCTACTTCTTTTCCTGCTCCTCGTCTCGTCCTCGTGCTCTTCTTGCTGCTCCTTGTGTCCGTCGTCATCCCGCTGCTGCTGCTCCTCCTCCTGATACCTGCAGCTATCCCTGCTGCTCTCCATCTCCCAGGGGTGCCTCTGAGTGGCCAAAATCAGAATCTGGGCCGCTTGGCATATTGGTTTCTCTTCTTGCTATTTTCCGTTCCTCCTGCTCCTCCTTCTCATCATCTTGTGTGTTCCTCCTCTTGGGTCCCATTCCTCCTCGGCCTCCTCCCCCTCTTTCGTGCCGTGGACGCCACTCGTCTTCCTGGGTCCTCCTCCATCTTCCTCTCCCTCCCTTCTGTCTCGTCCCTGCAGTTCTAGGGGAACGAAACATGACATAAGTATAGAAACTCGGAGGTCCGCGCGGATTTCTCAGATCCCCGCTGGACCCCCCTGGCGGCGCCTCTGGCGTCGCCCATGGCGCGCTGTGCGCGCCAGGGAGGGGGGTCCAGCGCGGATCCAAGAAATCCGAGCGGACCTCCAAATTTTTATGTTTATGCCAATTCCCGGTCCCCAAATTCCTCCACCAACTCATCCGTCCTTCCCCTGCGACCGCAAGAGGCACGAGAACGGCAATGGGCGGGCTTCAAGAGCGGACCGAAAGGGCACAAGACAAGCCTTGCGACTTGATGGCGAGTGAGCGAGCGAGCCGCTTCCGTCGCGCCAGAGCGCGTCCTCGAAGGGGACGGGCGGCATGGGCCGCAGCCCTCAGAAATTGGAGTTCCAGTCGTATTGACTCACGCGCTAATGCAACACTTGTTCTCCATTCGTTTCCACTGCTGCGTTGATAGGCCCCTAGAAGCCTCCGGGGCCCCTCGATAAAGCCCAGAGGGGAGCCTAGATGGCTCCCAGATAAGCCCACGAGGGCTGCGGGGCCCAGTGAGCTCAACAGGGCTTCTCTCGAGAGACCCAAATGGGGGCTCCAAGAGGGCCGCCAGCATGTGGGCACACTCGTGTCGAGGGTATTCCCAGAAGTTCACGTGGCCGAGCAGGCCTTCTCTCTGAGAGATCCACGTGTTCGTGTCCCCCGGCTGGGGGGGTCGTGACAATCGTTCCGTTGGCGCAACGTTAGGTCGGGCGTGTCCTCCTGCAGGCGGATTTTCGGCGAAAAAGAAATAGTCAAAAACAAACAAAATAGCGATAAAGTAGTACCCCGGCCATTTTTTGAGCATTTTTTGACAGTCCTCCTGTAGAGGGACAGGCCCGATTGAAGCGCACCATCACCACCCGCGGTTCCCGCAATATCCACTCCTCTTGGGTTATGTTGCTCCCATCGTACTTGAGGACCACATCCCAGAAATAATTTCGAGCACCCGGAAACGTGTCGAACGAGTGTCGAAAGAGTGTCGACACAGCGTCTCCCAGGGACCGGCTCGTGAAAACCCTCGAACTCTGGTACTGTTTCCAGGTGCTCGGAACTCTTTCGGGCGTTGGCAGAACTGGATTTAGCGGGACCAAGTTTAGTGGTGTGTGCTGGGGGACGCCCCCCCGCCCCGTTCCACTAACCGGAACCGCCGTCCCCCGAAAAAAAAAAACAGCTACGACAGACCTGGTTGAGTGCTTCTGGCCACTCCAGGGTCTCCGGGGCCCTACCACTCACTGGCCATCGCTCGGACGTCCCTTCCCTGTGCTTCTTTTTCGGCTTCGTGCGTGGCTTTTTTTTTCGCCAGATGATCAAGGATGTTCCTGGGTGGTTCTCGCCGAAGGAAAAATGCACACGTCCGAGCGATGCCGAGCCTTCTTCAGGGGGACGTAAGACCTGGGTACAGGGGACTCGGAAATCCCCGACGACGTCGTCAAAAAATGACGAGGACGAGCCTGCATTTTGACGAGGCCTCCCGCTGCAGACATCCCACGAAACTCCCCCTCGTCAAAATCCGAGGCGCGGTCGTCAAAAAACGATGGCGAACCCGAGTCCTGGCAAACCCGGGTCTTACGCTCCCCCGATGGGCGGTTCTCGCCGAAGGAAGAATGCACACGTCCGAGCGATGCCAAGGCCTTCTGGCGATCGAGGCTCAAAGCTAGGCGGGAGAGCAGCCGCACTCCTGGGAGGCTCTCGCGCGGTCCAGGCACAGGCGCCCGCGGGGGAGCCCCCGCGGGCCCTTGCTCGGGCCGCGGCCCATCGCGGACGGGCAGGCGCGCGCCCCTGCCGGCCCCGAGCCCCCTGGATGGGCGTGGTTTCTCCACCACCACCACCATAAGTGGGAGGGGGGTCCTCCTCCTCCTCCTCCTCCTCCTCGCCCTCCTCCTCCTCCCGCCCTCCAACTTTATCGTGGTGGTAGTGGAAGACAGGCTTATCACCCCTGAGCTGCGGAGCGCCAGGATGAAGTCGAGCCTGCAGGAGAGCCCAGGATCGACTCGAGAAATCGGAGCGGCGATCGAGATGGATCGGATCGGCGGGAGTCGGAAGCCGGGTCGAGGGAAGTCGAATGGGTGGAGATCGGCAGGCTGGTCTGCGTCCAACAAGAAATCGCAGCCCGAATCGGAATCCCAGGTCGAATCGAATCGGATTCGGAAGCCATCGAAATCGAATCGAATCGAGTCGGAGGAATCGAAACGAGCCCTGAGCCTGTCCTCCTGCAGGCGGACTTCGGACGACAGATAAAACAATACCCCCGAAATGCTCAACAACAGTCAAACAGCACACTCAACACAGCGTCCCCAGTCGATGCTTTACGGACTGTTTTCGAATGTTCCTCCTGTGGAGGGACACGCCCCACTTAACACTATAAGAATCACAAACGCCATAAGCATAAACTTTTGGCGCGGAGCGTCGAAAGTTTATGTTCATGTGTTTTTGTCCCCTTCGCCCAAGGCCCCTGAGCTGCGGAGCACGACGCGGCCTTCAGCGTCGCAAGGCTGATGTCGGCCATCATGAAATCGTCATCGTCGCCGCCTCGCGCGGCGACAGCAACTCCTGCGGGCGGCAGGCGCTCTCATGCCCTGCCCGTGATCGGCTCTACCTCGTCACCACGCGCACGGGTGCTCCGTCTCCCGTGGTCGACTTCGCCTCTCTTCCCTCGAAGAAAAAAACACCATAACTATAAACTTTTGGCGCTCCGCGCGGATTCCTTGGATCCGCGTTGGGCCCCCCGGCGGCGCCTCCGGCGCCGCCCCTGGCGCGCCAGGGAGGGGGGTCCAGGCCAGACCCAAGAAATCCGCGCGGAGCGCCAAGGCTTGTGTTTACGCAGTTGCTTCTCTCCTTCTAGCTTCTAGTTATGGTCCTGTCACTCTTTTGTTTGCAGCTCGCTCCTGTCCTTTCTGTGAGACTCCCCCTCCTTAGAAACCACTCTTGCAGCACCGGTGATCGTCCTATCCGTTTGGAGACCTCCTCATCGATGCCCGCCCTTTGCGCCGATCGGCCCTCACGCTCGACTGCCCAGCCGGTGACGGTGTCAACGACGGCAGTGACTGCATCTGTCGGCGGCGAGCCCGGCGGGAAGTGGGAAGGGGCAGGCCTTCTCAGAAGGCTCGGAGGTCCCCAGGGCCTTCTGATAAGTTCTCTGAGCCTTCCCCGGAGGCACAGAAAACTTCTAGGAAGGCTGGCGGGCTTCCGATAGAAGAAGGAGAAGAAGAAGAAGAGCAGAAGAAGAAGAAGAAGAAGAGAAAGAAGACGCCACAGACACAAACTGTTGGCGCTCCGCGCGGATTTCTTGGATCTGCGCTGGGCCCCCCTCCCTGGCGCGCGGAGCGGCGCTGGAGGCACCGCCACGGGGGGGCCCAGCGCGGATCCCCAAAATCCGCGCGGAGCGCCGAAAGTCCGTGTCAATGGAGTTTCTTCGTCGATTCTGATAGAAGCCCCGCCAGCTTCTGAGAAAGCTTGCCCCTCTTCACTTCCCCCCAGACGCGACGCCGAATCTGGGATGCAAGCGTTAGGTCGGGCATGCCCTTCTAATTACAGGCGGATTTGGGGCGAAAGTACAAGTAGCCCCCAAACATCAACAACAACCAAAGATAGTCAAAACATCTCCCCATACTATCTTTTGACTGCTCTTGAATGCATCTCCTGTGCAGTCGGGACGTTGACCTGAGGAACCCTAAATAAGGAACGAGGCCCCATCTTCCCATCAGTCAATGTTCGATTTCCCGTCAAAAACCTAAGGAAAACCTACGGCAAGCTGTGAAACACTTCATGAATGCGGAGCCCCTCCCCAACGAACAGGGTTCCTTCTTCAGGGCCCCGACTGTAGAGGGACCGTCCCTACTTAAAGCTTGCCCCTCCTCCCTTCCCCCCCCGGACGCGCCGCCGAGTCGGGGCTTGCGAGCCATGCCAGCGCCGAAGACGGCAAGACCACGCGTGGCACCTGACGGGCGCAAGGCCAGCGGCCTCCCGCAAGCGAGGCCCCCACTGGAGCGCCGCACCACAGGAGGAGGAGGAGGAGGAAGGAGGAGGAAGGAGGAGGAGGAGGAGGAGGAGGAGGAGGAGGAGCGCACTGCGAGCGGCAGGACGCCGTTCAGGCCAGCGACCACGCCGCGAAGGGAATGCCCCGTGCGAGCGGCTTCAGCGACCGCAGCGACGGCAACGTCAAAGACTGAGGTACTGACGACGCCGACGACGCCGACGACGGCGGCCGCGGCGACGACGTCGAGCGACGGCGGCGGCGACTGCGACCAGTGGTCCCTGGAGGTCTCCGGAGGTCTCTGAAGGCCTCTGGAAATATCTGGAGGCCTCCAGGGCCTCCGGAAACACATAACGAATGGAACCATCTCAAAAATCTCGATCCTCCTCTCGGGGAGACGTAAGACTCGGGTACTGGAGACTCGGGTTGTCCTGACGGTGCCATCATTAAAAATGACGAGACCAAATCTGAAATTTGACGCGAGCTCTCGCTGCAGAAACATCCCACGAATAATGGACCATCAAAATCCAGGACGCGCTCGTCAAAGAAACATCGGCAAACCCGAATTACGGCTTACTCGAGTCTTGCAATTCCCCGATCCTCCTGAGGCCTGGCAAGCGGGGAAGAATGCGCGACGTATCGGGCTCCAGAGCCCACCAGCAGTATCGCTGCTGCCGCGCTGCGATGCGCCCCGCTGGCTGCCGAAGTAACTACACGGGCACGCCCTGGCCCAAACTGCTCGTCTCGGACGCCTCCGGGCCAGGGCTCGAGCTAAACCGTGTTATTGTCGCTTTGTCTTCGTTTTCCTTCGTCCTGTCTTCGCTCCGCCCCTGCTGCAAAACGAAACCAAAACGAAAACAGCCTACGAAATCGCCCAAACACCGCTTCGGGGATCTACTGACCCGGGCCAGTCCAAACCTGGGTCAGTCCAGCCTTGCAGGATCCTGCAAGCTCCTGCAGGGTCCTGCACTCAAGCCCGAGTCAATGCGACCCTGGCCCTGCAGGTTCCTGCAAGATCCGGCGCTCTAGCTGACCCCCATTTGCATGGACCCCCGTGTTTTGAAACGCCACGAATGTGTCTTCATGTTTATATGTATGTATGTATGCATGTATGTATATATGTATGTATGTATGTCTGCCTGCATGTATGTCTGCATGTATGTGTTTATGTATGTATGCATACATGTATACAATTATGTATGCATGCATGTATGTGTGTATGTAGGCCGGTAGGTAGGTAGGTATGTATGAATGTATGCATGTATGTATGTATTCATGTGTGTGTACGTATGCATGCATGTATACATGTATGTACGTTTGTTTGTTTGTTTGTTTGTTTGTATGTATGTATGGATGCATGCATGCATGAACGTGTGTATGCATGCACGTATGTATGTATGTATGGATGTACGTATTTACGTGTGCACGTATGTACGTGTGTAGTATGTATGTTGCACGTACGTATGCATGTGTGTATGCATGAATGTATGCATGCATGTATGTATGTATGTATGTATGCCTGTGTGTATGTATGTAGGTATATATATATGCATGTATGTATGCATGTATGTATGTATGCATGTATGTATGTATGTATGCATGGTTTGATGTATGTATGTATGTATGTGTGTATGTGTGTATGTGTGCATGTGTGCATGTATGTATGCATGTATGTATGTATGTATGTACGTACGTATGTATGTATGTATGTATGTATGTATATATATGTGTGTGTATGTATGTATGTATGTATGCATGCATGTATGTATGTATGTATGTATGTATGTATGTATGTATATATATGTATGCATGTATGTATGTATGTATGCATGCATGTATGTATGTATGTATGTATGTATGTATGTATGTATGTACATGTATGTACATGTATACATGCCTGTGTATGCATGTATGTATGTATGCATGCATGCATGCAGGTAGGTAGGTTGGTAGGTAGGTAGGTAGGTAGGTATGCGTGTATTTTTTTTGGACACCCTCGGACGAATTCTGCATGTACCTTCATCGAGGGTGGCGGTGTATAAAGCCGCTGGCCCTCAGTGGGAACTCATACACCGCCGCCCTCCCCTGAGGCCCAGGAACAATTCATTGGAGGGTGTCTGTGTCTATCTTTGCTTTTTGGCGGACTTGAGCCCCCCGACCGTTTCGCTCGCACCCTGCTCCGGACCGACGTGCTGTGGGCCGGCGAGGCCCCGACGGCCAGCGCGCGAGCGGCGGCGGCGGCGATGGCCGGCGCGGCGCGCGGAGCGGCGGGGCGGCCGCCGCGGCGGGGCGCTCCTCGGCGCGTGGCAGGGGCAGCCCGGGGAGCGGGCGATGCGAAGGCGATGCGGGTCGCCTGCGCGCGGCGGCCGAAGGAACGTCATCGTCGACGTCGTCGCTCGTGGTCGTGGTCGTCGAGGGCAGGAAAGATTCGCTCAACATAAGCCAATACATACATACACCTATACGACCACCCTGCGGGTGATAAGGAGGTTTTGGGGGGGAGGGGCCCATCAATGGGCAACAGTGGTGATTGTTGTTCTGACGATGCCAGTGGAGATTTTTGCGTTGCCGCCCGCTCTTGGGAGCTTTGGTGTCGAGTTGTTTACGTCAGCCTTCGCTATTGGGCGCCTTGGTACCATCCCTTTCCCCCGGGAACCTGCCGTTCGAGGCCCCCTGAGGCCCCGCTCGTCGCCACGGCTTAAACCGCCCCGAAATATTGCTCAACGGCGGACCCTCGACGGGGGGGCAAACGTCGCACTCGATCGATCTCCTTATCGATATCACTCGATCGATCGCACCCGATCAATCTCACAATCGATACCATTATCGATCTCACTATCGATCTCACTATCGATTTCACAATCGATATCACTATCGATCTCACTATCGGTCTCACAGTCGATATCGCAATCGATTTCACGATCGATCTCACTATCGATCTCACGATTGATCTCACTATCGATCTCACGACGGGACACCGACAGGACACCGCGGGACACCGACGGGACACCGACGGGACACCGGCGGGATAGCGGCAGGACACCGCGCGGCCCCGAACGCGGGGTCGCCAAACATTTGGTCCCGCCGCGCCTCAGCCACAGGAGACTTTCCTCTCGCCCGCCAACGCAGCTTCGCCTCGCCCGCGCGCGCGGCACGCACGAACACGAAACCGAAATCGATTTCCTGGTAGGGGGGCTCTCCGTTCCACTTCGATCTCACCCCCCAACCTACGATACACATACTTACACATACAATTGTATACAGATTATGTGATAAATAAAACGTGTTCAAAAGTACCAGGAGAGGCACAGGGGGCGACTTCCAGGGGGGGCAGGATGAGCAGGAGGAGGAGCAGGTCGAGTGAGTCAGGTCGAACGAAAATCAGTGGCCCGCGCCATCTCCAACCACCACCAAGTGAGGAACGACTTGGGGCACAACCTGATATTGGAACTCGAACGCGCCGGCCAAGCTCGGCGACGCGCACAAGTAACCCGTCGCACGGGGGGATGAGGAGGAGGAGGAGGAGGAGGAGGAGGAGGACGAGGAGGAGGAGGAGGAGGTGGCGCTCGCGCGAGGATCCCGCTTCTGACAACTTTGGCGACGGGGATTAAAAAAAAAGCGGGCCGCGCACGGGCGGGAGCGAGGAAATCCACAAATCCCTGCGCGGCGCTGCGGCGAGGAGGACCACTGAACCCTCTCCTCCTCCTTCTCCTCCTCCTCCTCCTCCTCCTCCTCCTTCCCCTCCTCCTCGTCATCGTCCTCGCCCTCCTCCTGCGTCTCGTCATCCTCGTCCTCCTCGCCCTCCTCATCATCGTCGCACGTCCCGAGGCGCCAGGGGCATTCCACGAGTTCACAAAGAAGAACATTGCTGTAGCAAGTCTACCTCTGAGACAGAGGGTCAAACGCACAACACTTTATGGTCGGCCTTCTTCGACGCATTGGGGGCAATCTGCACGAGAAGGTATGGAGACACGGTCAACATACGTAGTGCAAGAAATGAAGACAATGAGAGCGTGAGATCTGCATGCCAAGAAGCACAGCGCACTACAGGAGGACAATCACTGCAGCAAGCGACATACACTCATGCCACGTTCACTGAAATCGTATACCGAATACGAGAGACAGCACAATAGCATCAGTGAGCTAAGATTGCTTGCAGCCGCTGGCAGAACCGAAAACTAATACATCTGTGGCGGGATATTCACCAGTCAACTGTAACATGAGAAACAGCAAATTGTGAACAATCCAACCAAGCCGAACAGTGTGGCATAAATCGCAACGATACAATAGCAAAGTGCACGCGATTCAAATTGTGAACATGCCAGACAGGCCCATACAGCTCCTCATTGCAGATGCTATTGCTGCTGACACGTCGCGTCGGTGGGCGGTCCTACGCCCTGCAGTCCAGCACCATTGGCACGAGAGGTAGCAGAGGGGGCAGCAGCTGGGAAGTGCCGAAGTTTCGGCGCATCGCGAACAAACTGCTGGCATTCGGCGCTCTCCAACACCTGCATCTCCATGAGCTTTATCTTGACAGGCTGGGGCCACTTACCAGAGTATGCAAAGGGAGCAATTGTGTCCGTGTGCATTGCGTGGAGGAGCTCTTTTACCTAACATCGAAGACTGATAGGTTTCTAGTAGTCTCAAAAGAGAGCAGCACATTACTTCAACATTACTTCGCAGCACATTACTTCAACATTACTTCAACATTACTCCACAGGGGGGTCTGGGCAGCCGTTGGGGGCAGTTGGGGGGCAGTTGGGGGGCTGTTGGGGTTTGCCGGCGGGGATCGTTTTTCGCATACAGTCACACACTTCGTGCCCACTTCGTGCTCTTCGATTTCCCAGAACTCCATTCCCGGGCCACATTTTGGAAGCCCGGAGCCAACTGTAGGCCACTTCGTGCTCTTCGATTTCCCAGAACTCCATTCCCGGGCCACATTTTGGATGCCCGGAGCCAACTGTAGGCCACTTCGTGCTCTTCTATTTCCCAGAACTCCATTCCCGGGCCACATTTTGGATGCCCGGAGCCAACTGTAGGCCACTTCGTGCTCTTCTATTTCCCAGAACTCCATTCCCGGGCCACATTTTGGATGCCCGGAGCCAACTGATCATCATCACAACCACCACCATCACCTCAACCACCATCACCACCACCACCATCATCACCAGCAGCAACAGCATCATCATAATCATCATCATCATCCTCCTACTCCTCCTCCTGCTCCTCCTCCTCCTCCTCCTCCTCCTCATCATCATCATCATCATCATTATCGTCATCATCATCATTATCATCATCACCACCACCACCATCATCACCGTCATCATCATCATCATCGTCATCATCATCATCATCATTATCATTCTCATCATCATCATCACAACCACCACCATCACCTCAACCGCCATCCCCACCACCACCATCATCACCAGCAGCAACAGCATCATCATAATCATCATCATCGTCAAAATCAGCATCATCGCCATCATCATCATCAGCATCAGCATCAGCATCGTCATCGCCATCGTCATCGTCATTGTCTTGACAGCCGTCTTTGGTTCAGGACGTGCCCTTCCAGGATGGCCCTCCCTTGGCCCTATCCTTACCGGCCTGCAGCCTCGGCTTCTCGCGGTGCTTCTCAGCCTGCGGAGGAAGACCGACACACGCCTGCGGCCGCGCCTGCTCGCTGTGATCCTCAACCTGCGTCTTTTACGGTCGCCTCTTTTAACTTCGGGTTCGAGCCGAGCATGATGACGGGGAAGAACTCCAAGACTCACTGCTCCAACTTCGGGCGGATTTGCGCTAAGATAGTCGAGGAAGTCGATGCTGACCTTTTCCTCGGGTGCGAGGTCGGTGCGCTTCGTCGAGGCCTGAATCGAGCATCCATCAACGTGAAAGACATCCTGACCAAGCCGTTCGGCGACAGCATCGGCTTCTGCGAGGTCGCCAACTACTTGAGCCTATGGGGCTTCGGCGGTGCTTCTCAGCCTGCTGACGTGTCCCTGCGCGAGGGCGCATGCATCTACCACGTCCCCATCGCGCGACAAGTGGACGCAGTGATCTCACGGTTCAATGTGCAGACAGGAGGCCATGACAAAGTTCACGTGGTCGTCGGAAACATGCACATCGTTTGCAGAAGCAACCCTCCCAGCATTCACACGCGACAGAAAGCAGTTCGGTTTCTCCGACTCCACTTGGACGGGATCGCCGTGCTTCTCAGTACTGGGGAGCCGGGCACGCCGGTCGTGCGCCTCGTAGTCGGCGACAACAACTTGACCGCGCAGGAGGCGCGTGAAGCTTTCCAACGCCACGCTGACGACGAGGCGTTATGGGAAGTCTTCGCCCCCCCCGGCGGACCGCAACGGCGACGACGTGGCAGTCTGCGGAGCAGTCGCGCGTTTCCAGCCCGTCGCTGTTGGCGCCTCCTACATGGACCGTGGCATGCGAAACGACGCACACGATGCTGTTGCGGTCGTGCTCACCGCCCCTGATGCTTCTCAGCCTGGGGAGACAAAGAGGCGGAAGATTGCATTCGGAGGATTGCCTGACGCCGACGCCGGCTCAGAGACCGAGGTGGAGGGCTCCTCGGTGCACTGGTCCCGGTCCCCGAGCCCCGCTCCTGTGCATGCACCGCTTTCACCGACGTCGCCGGCCGACGCCGCAGCCTGCGACGAGCCCGAGGATGAAGTTAGTCGGCGCGCGCATGAGCTGCACAAGGAGTTGAGGGAGTATTGGGACCAGAGGTATGACGCGGCCTACGACCCGAAACTCCCCCACCACCTCAGCCTCTTGCTGTTCAAGAAGAGGGCGTCCACGCAGCCTGCGGACAAAGATCCAGCTGGTGCTTCTCAGCCTGGCTCGGACTGCGACGCCGCCTTCGCGTCACAGGCGGAGACTGTCCGAGCCATTGTGTCTGTCCTTAAGGTTCGCCATGAGTTTCTGCGGAGCAAAAACATCGCCGACTTGCGGCGCGTCCTCACCGACGCTGAGCGCGGGGAACTCGTAAGACGTGTTCGCACAGAGTACGAGCAGTCCGAACACCAGCTGGCGCCACAGGAACGAGATGGCGAGAAGGGGAAAGCGAAAGGCAAGACTCCACCACAAGGTTCTAGCGGACCTTCTCAGCCTGCGGGAAAAGGCGAACGGGGGAAAGCGAAAGGCAAGACTCCACCACAAGGTTTTCGCGGAGCTTCTCAGTCTGCGGGAAAAGGCGAGGAGGGGAAGGCGAAAGGCAAGACTCCACCACAAGGTGGCCAGCCCCAAGGGGCAGGCCAAGGGAGTCTCGCTAAGTTCCTCAGAGAGCAGAAGCGTAAGCGGTGGTGCCGGCATCTGCAACGTGTGCGCGGCACAAAA